ATAAGGTATTATGGAGTGATATTGCCCCCTTTTTAGTGAATGCTATTAACTGCTCTTTTCAAAAAGGGCTACTATCGGTGACGCAGCGACAAGGAATTATTTCTCTTTTACCAAAGAAGGACAAAAACCCTCTTTTTTCTAAAAAATTGGAGGCCAATTTCTCTTCTAACCTGTGATTATAAAATCGCGTCTAAAGCGATAGGTAATCGAATAAAGCGGGTTCTTCCTAAAGTTATCAATGGTGATCAAAGTGGCTTCTTGAAGGGACGTTCTATTGCAGAAAATATTTTCTAATTGACGGTATTATAAACTACGCAGGTAATGTGAATAAACCTGGTTTATTGATGTTCATTGACTTTGAGAAGGCATTTGACTCGATGGAGTGGGCTTTTATAGAAAAAGTCCTTAACTATTTCAATTTTGGGCCCTCTCTAGTAAACTGGTTCAGATTATTTTATAATCAGGTCTCCAGTGCTATCCAGAACAATGGATGGGTCTCGGAGAGTTTTTCTTTAGGTAGAGGGGTCAGGCAAGGTTGCCCGATGTCGCCATATTTATTTATAATATCGGCCGAGATATTAGCCAACTTCATTAGGAGAGATAAAGACGTAAAAGGTTTTATGACGGGTGAAGTCGAACACAAGCTAAGCCAATTTGCTGATGACACGACGTTGATACTCAATGGCTCAGAGGGCTCTTTTCGTAGAGCAATAGAGGTTCTAGATGGGTTTCAAGTGACTTCTGGCCTTTAGGTAAATTATGAGAAAACCAAAGTGCTCTGGGTGGGTTCGGCCAAAAACAGAGGCCCCATAGAGTGCAACAAGCCTGATATCTCCTGGGTGGAGGGGAAAGTCTTTGCATTAGGTGTGTGGTTCGCAACGGACAGAAACGTAATGCTCCGTTCTAACTACGATGAGAGAATTGATAAAATAAAAAACTTTATTGAAATATGGCAATTTAGGAGACTCACCTTATTGGGAAAAATCACTCTCATCAAAAGTCTTCTGGTCTCCCAACTCATTTATATTTTGACTCCGCTCCCTACTTATACAAACGCACTGCAAACGGTCACCAACTTCTTTTTGAGTTCCTTTGGGACGGTAAAGGCGACAAGTTTAAAAGAGAGCATATTATAAGGGATTATGAGCAGGGTGGTTTGAGGACGATTGATATATATACGTTCAATAAGTCTCTCAAAGCATCCTGGATCAATAAATATAAGTACCTTGACCCGACAAATAATGGAAGATGGAAGTTTTTTTTTTGATGACAATCTTAAAATGTATGGTGAGAAATTTATTTTCTCTTGTAATCTACACAAAGATGATATTCCACTGTTAAAAATACGTAATCCTTTTGTATGTGAGGTCATGTCAATCTGGGTGGAATTGCATTTCCCTGATGCTGTAGCCATCTCCATCGCAAATGTTGGCGATCAGATTATCTGGTTTAATTCATTGATAAGAATTGACAATCAGCCTGTATTCCGTGAACACTGGATGGATCATGGTGTCTGCAAAATTTCTCATCTATTAGATGAGGGTGGGAACCTCCTCGGATATGATGCCATGAAATCAAATTTTCAGGAGTTAAACTGGTTAGAATATTGTAGTATAGCTTCAGCTGTCAAATCACTTATAAATAAGGTGCAAAATGAACCGAGGTACGAGGTTGTTTCCACCGAGGGAACATCTATAACTGAATTAAAATCTAAAAGTAAAGTTAACAACTTTATTTATAAGTCGCTACTGAGAAAAAGAAGCTCTACACCCATTAGAAGCCAAGAGAAGTGGCTCAGTGACCTTCAAGTCGAAAATGCAAGTGATATTGATTGGAAAGATGCACATACACAATCGCTTTCCACTGTACGGCTTCTACAAAATTAAGAACTTTTCATTATAAGTTTTTGCATCGGAGGATTGCTACCAATGATTTTTTAAAGAAAATAAATTTAAAGCAATCGGACAAATGCTCTTTTTGCCAAAGGGAAATAGAGACTATATCTCATCTTTTTCTGAGATGTTCGGCAACAATTGCTTTTTGGAACGATGTTAAACAATTCTTAATTCAAAAGGGCCTCAAGAGTACTGCACTTACCGATCTGCATCTGACGGGACTCTCTAAATTTGCACCCTCTTCCGCCATTGATCTCGTGCTTCTTATTGGGAGACACCATATATACTCGAGCAAACTTGCAGGTACGTCTCGCTCCATGACTCTTTTTAAGGGCAAACTGAATTTCGTCATTGAGATGGAAAAACAAGAAGCACTCCGCTGTAATTCTTTCACCGTCTTTTCAAACAAATGGAAATTTTTTCTTATTTAAATTTGTTGCTTGCACTTGTTACCCTCTAGCTAATCGTTTTGACTTAGCCATGTGCCCTGCAAAGTTGAGCCATCCACCGTCCACCGTTCACCGTCCTTTGCTTTTATTGTAAGTAGCTAAGCGAATTCAAGCATAAATGTAACCTCAGCTATTTTTATGTTTGTTTCGTCAAGTTGTAGTATGTATACGTTTTGTGTGATGTAAATTTAGCTTAATAAATAATAAATGAAATTTAAAAAAATCACATCCGATGCATGATTCTATACAGAAAAAGACATTCTACATTAAAAAGCAATCTATAAGCTTTCAAAAGATGCTTTCAAAACCCTGGGCAACACATGAAATGCATTTTTGGGAACGCAAAGTCACGGAGCATTTAAGTGTCATTTGACCTTTCTGACTTGACAGATAAGAGGTTCGGCACGACACAAATCAATCCTCCAACAAATGTTTCAGCCAAAATACGTTTAATTTAAGCAATCTCAAGTCCCACAGTGATACATAGATGTTTTTTACTGTTTTATATACATTAGGTGGAAAGTTTCATGCCATTTTGTCAGCCGTGAATGAAGAAGTCTTATCCTGGCCTTCAGGTACATTATTCGAACTCGCCTTGCCAATGTAAACATTTGGCTCAAGTTCTTATCAGTAGATGTCAGTACCCTTATCAAAATTGAAGCATGTTTGGTATACTTTTTGTAAACAAAAAGTGTACACTGTTTATACACCACTGCTCGGGTGTACATATTTAGTATACCTCAAACATACATCAGAGAAAATTCCTTCTTGCCACACTAACTCTGATGTACACTATTATTTATATACATCACTGGTTTTCTAGGCTATGATGTATACTTTGTGTATGCTACTTGCCGTTATGGACAGCCATTGATGTATACTTTATGTATGCGACTTCCCTTTATGGATACATTGATCTATACTTTGTGTCTACATTACAGCCCTGTTAAAGCCGACTGTGATGCATATTTTTTGTATACAATGATGGTTATAAAACTAGAATGTTACTTGACACGGAGACGGGTGTATACTTTGTGTATACCTCACTAAAAAGCAAAATTTATTAATTCAGTATAGGTCTTATACAAAATCTAAGGTTGTAATACAACAGTTACTTGTTAGGGTTTTTCAAAGTTCATCTCTGTTGCACGTGCCAGTACAGTTTATAACCCTCATATAAAATTTCTAGATTAATCCGGGTGCTATTTTTAATTATTTACATGTATACTTTTGTCAACTTCAAGTGCCTTGATGAAAAGTAAGTAACTGGAAAAATTAAACAACATGCACTGGCCTTCCCTAACACAGCCCCCTCTATTAGGTAATAATAATTATTGTTTATGTCAATATTAAATTCCATTTATCTCTTATTAGCACAAATTCTCTATAGGTACAATAAATAATTTGATCGCTTAACCAAGACTTGGTGACTTACATGTAATTACAGTCACCTTCACTAAATAGCAAAAGCATAAAATAATGCATATATTTCTGAATCAGCACTTTTCATATATATTTGGAAAAATTCATACAAAGGAAGTACAGTCATTTGCACAGTCAATGTAAAAACATAATCGAACAACATCCTGCACTCGAATTGCCGGCTGTGATGCAATTGTCACTTTTGATCACTGGAAATAAGTGGGGGACGGTTGCACCAGTGTAAACGTTGTGAGTAATGACAACGTTTTCGTTAGATTTCAGAACATTAATCAGGGCACAATAAACAGGTTTTTGACACTTGCATGTGTTACTACAAGCTAAAGGATTTGGGCACTACAAGTGAGTTTTCATGTAAAACAATACAGTGTATATGTCCAAAACATGGTCCTGGATTTTCACTGCCTGGTTTGAATTCCACAGTGAAGTTGTTTCTTCTGGTCATGCTCTTATAAGACTTTGAATGTATCAGCTGCTCTCCAACAAGGAGCCTTTGAAACCTATAGACTCGTCGAACTGCCCCAAGCAAGGATTCTATGACCAATCGTTCAGTTTTAGTAAGAAGATAATCTCGTAAATTACCCACAATGCTATACATGCCGTCATACCAAAGCTTTTCTTTCTTGAAAACAAGTTTTCGTTTCCTGGACAAGTGCTCATAAAACGTTTGAGGGACTGAACCATTTTCAAATAGAGGAAGCAACTCAGGGATTTTTTGCTGCACACTGATGGCAAGCACAATTTGCTCTTCAATACGTTGTGTTCCATGGAACAGGCTTCTCAATTCACCGTTAAAGTCCTCAAAACAAAAGCAAGAATGTGTCCACAAAGGGCCAAGATTCATAACTCTTTCAGTTAGATGAAACAAGCAGTGAATATTATATGTTTCATAACGTGCTGCATACAGCTCCTTTATCCTCATGCAGAAGTGCTTTAGTAAAGAGAATGCATTGTCAATGTCACAAAGTGAGATAGAATCTTGGAGAAGGAGGTAAATGGCTTCAACAAGAGGTATGTAGTGTAGTGCTGAAAGTACTGGTCTGGAAGTATACCATAAAAGCATGGAATGGAGTAAAACAACAGAAAAGTTCTTAATTCAGATGTCTTTAGATGCCCAATATTGGCGAGCAGACTTCTTGGAAGACGACGTAATGCAGAAGGGAGGTCCAATCTTCAGGTACCTTCGTTCAATCTCTGTCATTCTGTTACAAACAGATCATGGCTCTCCTTTGTATGATTTGTCACTCCAAAGAGTGAGCAACATTTTTACATGACCGAGCAGTGTGCTGTGCATGTAGTCAATGGCTACTCCTCTTATTATGTCAGACTTTGGGACAAACATAAACCAAGAGTATCCTTAACACCTTTGACACTAGCTACCCTGTGTACCACTTTGTGCACTTTTCTTTGTAGCTTCAGCAGCAAACTTCAGTGTCTGTTTATGTGTCCTTTGTTCACCATGACCAGTCCTAAGATTACTGTAACCATAAGAATAGGCATGAGTATGACCTTTGCTGCTTGTTTGGACAGTTTCACCAGGGATCAACCAGTAGGGACAACCATGAAAAGCATTAAACTGGCAAAATTCTTGAAACAGGCACTTTGCAGGGGCATCAAATGTGTCAAGCAGTAAAATGCAACGAAGTAATCGGACCTGACCTTTCATTTTTACTGGAATCCCCGCAAGACAAAACAAGATACCGTTACAACATTGTCCTTTGATTTATCATTCAGAAATTGTATTGCTAAGAGGAGAGATGGCCTGGTTAATTTTTTATTTCGTTCAATATTATTCCTCTGTACTCTTTTTATTCCTCTTTTTATTTGCCAGTATAACACCACTGTGAAATATACATTCCAAATCAAAGACAACTGAAACCTTCTTTTGAAGAGACCAATTCCAAACTATAATCCACCTTGTAGTCCTATGAAAAGACAATGACTCCATAGGGTAAATAATGAACCTGCTGTTGAGATGCTTACCTCGACTGGAACTACCTGGATTAATCTAGAAATTTTATACGAGGGTGTTATTTCATATTGCAGGGTTACTGAAAGATAACGACAACAACTCTTACACTATTTGATACCAATATTGAAAAAGACTAGAGGATATTGCACAAATTAATTACATAATGAGAAATATTTTCTTTTTAAATTCAAAAAAGCTACATGGTGAATAATATTATTATTTCGTAACGAGTGGGCCAGAGAGGTGTAAATTCATATCAACTTTGACTTTTTGTCAAGATTTAAGCTAAATGTACATCAAGATGCATGTTTACACTTCACATGGATCACTAAATGTTAAGAAAAACACACCTTTGAATACAAATACCTTTTAAGGTCTCGGTAAAGGAAAACGAGGTGCCCACAGAGAAAAATTCTAGTCGCGCGAGTATTTTCGCTACAAAGGCAAGTTATATATCAAATTAAAGCTAAAAGACTAAATTACCTTATAAAATATTTTATTTCATCGAATTTCAAAAGGCGCTTAAGTTTTTTGCTCTCGAACTCAGAGGTATCGAGTTTACTGCTGAAGCTCCAGCCCTTTCGCGTTGTTAAATATTCACTTTCTTTTTATTGCATCTGATTGACAGATAAAAGACCTAAAAAAGGGTGTGAGGAAATTTGCATATGTCTCGTATTAGGGGAATTATTACATTTCAAACTAAAAAGTCGAATCTCGAGCGCGATTTACGCAAAGAAACTGACATAAAATGAGTTACAAAGGGAAATCGGAAAATTCCTCACACCCTTTTTGAGTCTATATCATTATCCATCATATCTGAAAGTTTCAAAGCGATAGCTTAAAACCTGTCCCGACTGGAGGTCGGAGAATTTTGATTTTTGCGTCTAAAATAGAGTGAGAGAAAATCAGCTCTAAAGATTTAGCGCGAGGTCCACGCTTGGCTGGTTAGCTCAGAAAAAGCTCATTTTAGAAGGTTTAAAAAGCACTTTCTGATTTTCTTTTTCTGCCAAAATAAAATTTAGGACCCACTCATGCCAAAAATCCAAAAAAAACAAAATCGAGCAATGTACTAAAATTTTCATTTACCGAGACCTTAATACAAATACTGAGCAATCGAGTTGCCAGTTTCCTTTCGGACATACATGCCCAGTATCTAGGTAATGCGTGTTGCGAGAGTGCGATTGCAGTGCGTAAGAGATCGCTAGCCCTGTCACTCATAAACTATAGAAAAAGTGCAAAAATGTGGAATTAAGTATATATACGTTGTACATTAGAAAAGTGCAGCAAATTTTAGACCTTCGGCATCATTTTCATTGAATCCCAATTCCCATGACCCGGTGAGTAATTCTAACATCCACGATGGGAACCATTTTGAATGGCACAGCATATCTCGTAACTCTCCTATTTTACCCCGTGCTTCTAGTTAAAACACTGAAAAACCTACCTAGCCCGTTTCCCTTCCCTGATTTCAACTGATAGTCCTGATCTTGGTATCTAGGCACCAAGGAGGGTTGGGTAGAGTTGGATTGTAAACATTCTTTCCCTCAATTAAAAAAACATAGGGGAAATTCCGTCTTGAGCTTCCGGAGTCTCGGTAGACTAACTAACAGTATATGTTCACAGTGTAAGTTACATTAGTACTATACTGAGTCATCAACTGAACACAGTCGGCCCACTTTATTACAGTTTAACTTATTTGAATCTAAGGACCTCTTGCCTCCCGGGGGAGTGCTCCCTTATATTTGTCTTATAGGTAACTTATGTGCCGCCCCAAAGGGACTATGGTTTGTGCGCCTCTTTAGTCTGAAAACGGCGGGTAAAGACTTTGCCTATTTTCGTCTGAATTTATAGGGTATGTTTTTCCAGAGACTGAATACGGGAGTGCATGAACGTATTTGTTGTTTCAAGTCCAAATGAATAAGAAAGGAAGAGCAATATGCAAATTCGAAATGGATTTTAAGAAATCTTTTTGTTGGCGTTCTAATCTAAGTAATTATAACATAATTTCTGCCTACGGGCACGGATCGAATTTTGGTTTGAGATAGTGTTGTCAGGATTTGGAGAACCGGGTTGCAATCCCCAACACGAATTCCCACGAATACCTTCCACGGGTACAGTACAAATGTTGGTGATCATGCGAGAGATGGATTAGAATGAAAATACCAAATCTCTTGGGAATTTCCTTCGAGTTATTTCTTACCAATCTTGTAAATAATTGACTTACAATAACTTGTGTCACCTTTATATTAGTGGTCTGGAATAATGTTTGAGATGGAGAATGTGTGCATGGAAGATGAGGGATTAATCACTTGTCACGCTGAAAATATGTTTGGTGTTGAAGTATCCAAATTGAATGACTGTTTTAGGTGAGTCAGTTGTTTATTTCAAAACGTGGCATATCAAGAGTAGGTGACAAACAGGCAATTTAGGAGGAACATAACATAACATAATCTTTATTTAACGTGGAAGAAACACTTAGCTAAAGCTATTTTGCAGGTTTTCCACAAAAGACTTACCACAGTTAGTTACTGCTCGGTATCCTTTCCTTTCCGTGTAGCTGTAAGTAGCTATAAATACCCGTAGGACGGTTCACTGATGAAGAGAGAGAGGGGCGAGAGAGGGAGGGGGGCGGGGGGGATTAGCGCACCGTCGGTCGGCCTCAGGTTTGTTAGTCAGATGACTATCTGGAGTTATTCATATATATAAGGACTCTTTTTTAATTTTAAGCATCTTCATAGCTCAGTTATGTTTAAACGTGTGGTAAGTTATTGTCTTCCATCTCTGAATAAGTGCTCCTTGATGACTTTACTGAAAAGCGTGTGTTTAACCATTTTTTTTTTCTTTTTTCCCCTGCAGGAGCGCCAAGGTTTTCCCAGTTCCCTCTAGTCAAATTGTACGGCTTCGTAGGTACAGAAACAAAAGTGGAATGTGACCTTTTTGGAAACCCCACCCCTGAAGTTCAATGGAACAGATCTCCCTCGTCTCCTCTCCCTCCAGGACGTAGTGAGGTGAAAAAAGACGGACTTTTAACAACACTAACAAGATATTAACAACACTAAGAAAGAGGACGAGGGCATCTACACGTGTCTTGCGACGAATGAATATAATAATAATAATAATCCGTTTATATAGCGCCTTTTCTACAAGATTCAAAGGCGCTGTTTACAGAAATTAGATAGAACTAAAAAGGAAAAATAATCACAAGAAATTGACATTAAAACTAGACGCTAACTACAAAATAGATAAATGTACACAATAGATAAAAAATCAGATAATAAATAAAAACATCACGATTCGTAAGCTCGCATAAAAAGAATATCGTATGGTCATCCATGGAACATACCTCATAGTCAAGGCAGTGGGTAAGTAAGAACTAATTAAATTAACTGCAAATGACCGCAAACGTAACGAATATGCCGCAGAACGAAGGATCTCAGCAATAAACATACCAAGTTAAGTCGGACTACGAATGTTCTTTAATAATTTCTCAATTGCGCGTGCTAATACATGTATAGAGCTAATACTTTGTCCTTTGGCTTACCTCATGGCAACCATCTAAAGTTGTAAGTTGTGTTCTTTTATAATTATTAATATATAGATTTAGCCAGGGCTAAAAGCGAAGCTCCCATTAATAAATTTATAATTTAGATCAAACAATAAACCTGTAATCTACAAATCGGTTAACTTAAGGGCACATATGTGACTTTTTAGGGAAAGCTAAGGCTAAGTGATTTTAGAGTGAAAAAAAGTCTTACATCGAGTTGATAGCCTTACATGTTCACCCAAAAAATAGCAAACATCTTCGATCACATTTCAGAGCCATGATGGCTCTTGATGACAGTAGATTAGGCCTGGAAAACGAATTCTTGGAAAACAAATCAGGCCTAATTTTTGACGTTCGACAAGTTTACCTAACAAAATCTTGCCAACAAATCTGGGTGCGTGTAAACCAACATTTCATACTTTTTATACATCACATCTGAGGTGAAACAGTAATATGAGGCGCTGTTTTTATCATACAGACCTCAGACAAAATGCAGTATTTCACAATTTTTCAAGACAAAGCAGCACGAAGGATTTAAGTAAAACCGTTCAAAAAATTTCAAAAAACCCCTATACGGCCAGCCAGTTCTCACTTTTGACAAGCGCCAAATTTTCAGTAAGCATTAAGAGAGTTACGCTTCAACATAATAAAGAAGTTATTGTGTTTATTTTTCATTTAATGGTTTTAAAACGATGTGTAATCTTAAAAAGCATTTGATACGCGCGGCATTTTGAGTACTCCTGCAAGCGATGTTTATGAACGACTGAAAACAAACGGCAAAGTGTTTAACAGAGAGAGACTACTAACGGTCAATAAAAGAAATATAATTCGGTGAAACATTTACAGAGACAAAAATTTTCATTCACGAAGACAAGTATTAAAGCGTCTCTAAAAATCCTAAGTCCTTAAGCTGAAGCTTAAAGCTTTTAGCCGGCTTCCCCGTGTTTACTGTTTTCAAAGATGAACTCGAGGCAAGAAAATCGCTCAAAGCTTTCTTTCTACAGCCAAAAAAATAGCTTATGAACTAATCGAGGCGGGGGGGAGCTGAAGACATATTACAAAACAAGGTTTATATATAGATGGACTAAATAACAGTGAAGACACTACAATACAGTAAATAGAATTTAAACTAACATAAAACAAGGCATGTACTTAACGATTACGAAGAGAGGCTAACCTAAAGTATTAAATAACTTAATAAGACGGGAGACTTCGACATAATCATGTAAGCTTATATCAAAATCTCATACTAGGTCAGATCATTGTCTCAGATCTTAATACAAACGTGCATAAACTAGCCTCATAAACTGCGCTCGACTTAATGAAATTAGATATACAAAAAACAAACACAATAATTACTCAGACTTACCATTCGAGATACAGCTCCTGAAAGCCGCTTGAGGGACTTTTCAACCCACATCCAGCAAGGTGAAAAATGAAAACGATGTCATCCGAAATCGGATTTCTGACTTTGACAAGCGGCGCATTTCTCAACCAAAAATTCAGTAAACAAACCAGCCATGAATAACAGAAGACTGTTGATAGCAGCTGTATTTCATTTTGTGCATCCAGTGGGAAAAGACAGTAAAAAACATCACAAGTTGACAAAAAACTCTGTCAGCTTCAGCTGTCAAAATAAACAAGTTTCAAGATGCTGCATTTCTCAACCAAAAACCCAATAAAAAAACCAGCCATGAATAACAGAAGACTCTTGATAGCAGCTGTATTTCATTTTGTACATCCAGTGGAGAAAGACATAAAAAAAAACATCACAAGTTGACACAAAACTCTGTCAGCTTCAGCTGTCAAAAGTAAACAAGTTTCAAGATGCTGCATAAATTTTCCGCATGAACTCACCTGTCAAATTTTGACCAATCAGAGCATAAAAATTGGACGTAGAGCGTGACCAACGCGTGTCCATGATAACAAAAGGTCTTCTCCGCCTGTGTTTTTAAATAACTGGCTGAATTTTCGTGTCCGAGGTAAGTTTGAAATCAAAATCTTAATAGTGCTGAGCCAAAGTGACATACTGACACGACATATTTCATATGAATTTTTAAAAAAACAAACTTGAGCTTGCGATTATTTGAAAACTAGTAACTTGTCAGGGGGATAACTTCAAAAAATACTCGACCTTGATGGGTCGACACCTGAGCCCGCGATACGGTCAGGTGATACTGGTCAGCGGATACCCTGTTTTGACAGCTGTCAATTGACCACAACATTGATGCGCAATCACTTTTTTCCGGGGCTCCCAAACTAGCTAGAAAGTGTGACAGTAAACATTGGTATGCCTGTGGTGCGGACGGACGGTCGTTCGTTCGTTCGTTCGGTGTACGGTCACGTGATAACCAAATTTTCTGGGATGGGTAGATTTACTTAGCTATGGGGCTCCGCCCACGCGCGCGCGTGGAGCTCCGCTATTATAAGTGTCGTGAACTTTCGCATTTTTATATAAATTTCAGTATCAGTTTTGGAAATGTACGTTGAATAGCATAACGTCAAGTTTATACAAAAATGCGGAAGTTCACAATATTCATTACCCCTGTTTGGGTTATAATTTTGTTCTAGCGCTATTCAAGTTACTCTGTATCCGGTAGGGTTGGTAAGAACCCCCTATTCTTTCTTCTACAAGCCACAAGTTAGTGATTGGCTTTAGTTTTGGTGCTAGTGCAGTTCTTGCTACTAACGGGTCGGAAATATGGTCTCCACTCAGAACCTCCAGTTTTTACCGTAACACCACCTGAAGCAGTCAATATATCCGGTGTAGAGGAACCAATCAGAATCAACTGCTCAGCTACAGGCTCCCCTCTACCCAAAATCACCTGGTACAAGAACAATATTACCCTACCCGCGAACATTTACGTCAACGATGACGAAGTAACCAGCGAGCTCGTGATTGGTCAACCTAAGCCCTCTCTCCAGATCACATATACGTGTGTTGCTCGTAACTTGTACAACGACGAACTAAAGACAAGTACAAAAATAGGTAAGGTGTACTTGGAAATGCAAGAGTAGTCTTTCCGTGCTCTTCGCCACAATTGGGAGATTGCAGTACCCTACGAGAGGAGGTCCTTTAATTGATTCCTCTCCATAAAAATAAAGGTGCCTTGATGAGAAGATCACTAAACCCCGACTCGCAGGAGAGCTATCATTTGGGACTAAAATAATATGGAAACAAGTCCCATTGCTTTTGCACTCAATTTATTTTTTCAACATCATAATATCTGCACTAAGAAGTTTAATCATAACCATTACAATTTCCTCAAATTTGACTGGCCGGTACATTAAGTGCTCTATTTTCCACTAACCATTGTATATATAGGGCTGTAATCGGACAGTGTAATGGGACAGTTGGTTGTAATCGTATCGGAAACCTGTAATCGGACAGTTACATTAGCCAATCATATTAAGTGCACTCAGCTAAATACACCAATCAGACTGAACTTATCAAAATAACCATAGCAATAACCAGTAACCCTACTAACCAGGGCATTTTCCAAAACGGACGAATTTGTAACACTAGACAGTGTCTCCTGCAGTGATATTTTTCCTAATTTTGGACATTTGGTATTCAAATGCTCTTTCACTAAAAAGAATCCATTTATTTTCTCGGACGTTGTAACGGTTACGACTAATTGGCAACGGGACTTCGTGTCGTCCAATTCGGTCTGTAATCATAAACAAAAATCGGATTTTGTCAATCACTCTCTTACAGACTGAATTGGACTCCACTCAGTCCTATTTCCCTTAAAAGAAGTGATATTTTTATCTAATTTTCATGCATTTACCGCCAGACGTAAATTCCCGGGAGCATTCTAGAAATGTATTAGCTGCACCCGCTGATCAACAACTATAGAAATTTTTGTATTTATCACTAACGTCTTAACTGCAACCGATCAAACGTTTAAACCTTTTCTTTCTTTTTTCTAGTTTTACGCGATTGTGGTGACCCAGGAAAACCAGACAATGCAATTGCTGTAAGCCAGAGCAAGAATTACTGGGCAGGAGAGTATGTCAGGTACCTCTGTAATCCGGGATATGCTATGGTTGTTACAGCGGTAAGAAGATGCTTGTCCAGCTGCAAATGGAGTGGAAATATACCAACATGTAAGAGTCAAAGTTAAAAAATTAAATATGTAAATCGATGATGATGATGATACTATTAATAATAATAATAATAATAATAATGTTGGCATCCGGTCTGTCTCGGGAGACAATGTAATTGGCGCCAGGGTTTAGTCAGTGGTTTAGTCGCAGCGCCTTCTGTGGCTGGGGAACAATCTGATTCTGGATCGGGACGCGTTGCGTTGCAGTTGTTGCAGATAAATTCCATGCATGGATCTGTGGGTACTGACGCTGCCAACAGCGTTTGCGCCTGGGTCCTCTCCTCACACGCCTGAATTAAAATGTGGCTCACATAAAGAACTCATTGTCGTCCTTAACATTTTAAAGTAAAAATAATGTGTTAATAAGTCACGTGACCATTTTGCTAAAAATCGTAAATTATTGATCAATTAGTTGCCAGTTTAAGATAAGAAATCCAGCAATAACATTTTTCTAATTCATGTTAAATATTTCTAGGACTAAAAGTCTTTTAGCGACAGCGATGACGCAGTGGCCAAAGAGTTTAATGAATTCTTTAACTCTATCGGTCAAAACACAGTTGAAAAAATTTACTCGTTGGCAAATGAATGCAGCTACGACCTCACACAATCGTCTTTTGTGCCAAGGTGCTATCTCCCTTCACAACCACTTTCGTTTAGACCCGTCAATTGTGACGAAGTCCAAAAGGTAATTACATTAATGCCAAGTGACAAAGCCCTGGGGATTGACAAAATTAGCATTCGAGTGATCAAGCATAGCCTTCCTGCTATTTTGCCGTCCGTGACGTCCATAATTAACGAGTCCCTCGCAAGTAATACCTTTCCAGTTGAGTGGAAAACAGCTGAAGTGATCCCCGTGTTGAAAGAAGGCGATCATGAAAAGCCAAATAACTACCGCCCTATATCCCTATTACCTATTCTTTCAAAACTATGTGAGCGTATCGCTTTAAATCAACTTATGCCCTACTTGGTAGGAACGATCGTCTCTACGCCCATCAAAGTGGTAATAAAAAGTGGCATTCCACCGAGACTTCACTGATCTACACTTCTGATCGCATTCTCACCGCAATTGACCAAAAGAAAACTTCAGTTGTAGTTCTCCTTGATATGAGAAAAGCATTCGACAGTGTCAACCATGATATTCTGCTTAAAAATTACAAGATATTGGCTTGTCACCCTCTGCCATCCTGTGGTTCAAGAGCTACTTGTCAACAGGTACCAAGCTGTGCGTATAAATACTGCTCTTTCCGAACCCCTGCTAATGAGGTACGGTGTTTCCCAAGGAAGCATCCTCGGTCCTTTGCTCTTCACGGCTTACACCAATGACTTGCCATCAATCCCACAACACTGTTCCACGGACTGCTACGTTGATGACACTAAATTGCTTATGTCATTCCAAGTGCAGGACTGTGAACCGACCATGGCCGCGATGTACGATGATCTTATTAAACTACGTAATTGGTGTTTTAATAATAGGCTACTCCTGGACCCGGACAAGACTAAACTGATTGTATATGGAAGTCGGCAAATGATATCGAAACTTCAGGATTTTCGCCTTACCCTCTTGGGTAAAGAACTTTTACCCGTCGACTCTGTTAAGGACCTGGGTGTAGTGTTTGATAGTAAACTGTACTCTCATTCAACGACCACATAATTAAAACAGCATCATCTTGTATGTCTTCCCTAGGGCAGACTTAAACATATATTTAGAAAAGACATACTTGTTACAATAATTAATTCTCTCGTGTTTAGTAAGTTGTATTACTGCTCGTCCGTCTGGTCGAACACTTCTGCCAGCAATATACGCAAACTACGAGTACAGAATTTCGCTGCTCGCATAGTTTCTGGGACAAGGAAGTTTGCTAACGTATCTCTAGCCCTGAAAGACCTGAGATGGATACCAGTTAAGTCCCACCTGTATCTAAGAGACGCCATCTTGACCTTTAAATCTATGACAGGTCAGGTGCCAAACTGCCTCAGTTCAAATTTTATCTCCAGACGGAGTATCAGTGGTCGGACGACCAGATCATCTTCCCTGCTTAATATACCGCTTTTTAAAACCAAGTCGGGACAGAGATCTTTTTATTACAGAACTGTAACATTGTGGAATACGTTAAATCCCCATTTTAAATTAAGTGGATCTCTTATCATTTTTAAACGTAAAATGAAAGCCTTCCTTTTAAATCAATTTTTAATGTCATAAATTCATATGTAAATAGTTTCTTGATAGTTTATTGATAATCAATTTGTGATACTTGTTTTCTTTTCTTTTTATTTTATTATTATTATTTTTTTTTTTTTTATTACCTGTACTATTAATACTTGTCTCTGAAAAGCCCCCATGGGGCGTTGACAATAAAATTTGTATTGTATTGTATTGTATTGTATTGTATTGCACGTTTGGAATGACCGTCCAGTGTACTTCAACAAAAAACATATGAGGGAAAACGTCATTTCAAATGCCCAAATTTAATCTTCAATTATTTGAAACTTCAATTTTAAACTTCGCGTACATTCATTCCAAACGTAGAAAGAAAAATAGCTTATCCTCTTTCAGAGATGCCAATTTGTTTATCCACTCAAAGTAAATTCGCCACCAATTCGCCAGTTTTCTTCATTTTCAACGTTAAGGTACAAGAAAACCTCAAGATTTACTTTTGTTGAGAAATCCATTTTGTCCTAGGTCTACTAGCGAGAGATATTGCTAGTCATTCATATGCTCAGAACACACCTTTAACTCGGGCCTTAAATCCCTTGAGACGGCCTTGCCAGCTGATGCCCAAAATCCTTCCGAGGCAGCGCTGGTGGATAGTGTGGGGTCTGCGCTTTTGGCGGGATTAGAGGGTCCATGTCTCTCCCAAGAGCAACGCAGGACTGGTACACAAAGTCCTCCATCACCTCGAGAGTGTAGTCGCCAATGGAGAAGTTTGGGGCCCTGCTAGTATTTTGGCCAAGGATGTTGGTCTTCTTGAGACTGTTAATGAGACCAAACCCGCTCGAAGGAGCTGATAAGTCGCCTTAAAGCACCGTCAGTGTGCGTGGGCGGTTAGGACAGCGTCGTCTGCAAACAGCAACTCCCTTATCAGTACTTTCTGAACCTTGGTCTTTGCTCGGGGGCGTGCAAGGTTGATGTCCATCACTTCTGGTGTGAAGGTACACACCATCCTCTGACTGGCTGAAGGCGACAGCAATAGAGAGAAAATGACGCCGAAGAGTGTAGGAGCAAGTGCACAGCCCTGTTTTACTCTGCTCTTGATTGGGAAGGGGTCTGAGGTTGAGCCATCGTACTGGAATTCATATACATCTATCACATTCACCTCTTTAACCGGGCAGGATTAGCTCCGTCGGTAGAGCGCTTGACTGCAGAGCGGGAGGTTCGATTCCCGGGACCGAACCAACACACAGGGTCTTAAAATGACTGAGAAATGAAGGTATTGCTTTGCCCTGCAAATGGCTAGACCCTCGCGTGGCTCGGATGACCACGTAAAATGCGGTGTCAGTGACGAAGTTCTCCCTATAGTGCAGCTCTTGGTAGTATTCTGCCAATTTCTTCATCAGGTTGCTCCGGTCTGTAATGATGTCGTCGGCAGGTGACTTCAGAGGAGCAGTTTGGGCAGTGCTTGGACCGAAAGCTATCTTTATGCCATCGTACATGGCGCGGATGTCCCAGCAGTCAGCAGAGAGTTATGGATGCTCTAACAGAGACGCAGCCAGTAGTCGTTGGCGAGGCGGCGAGCGTTCCTTTGGGCATCGACTTCTTGGCCTTCCTGAGTGCAGTACGTTAGTGTCTTATCAGAAGGCTCCCTCCTGTAGTCGAGCACTGCTGCTCTCTTGCAAAAGTTGCAATCACTAGCTCGAGCTTTCGGTAATGCCAGCTTCACAGCAGTCTGTAAACAGTTTGTGTTCTGCCTCTTTTTCTTGCCAACGGCGTCTATGGCCGAGTTGTAAATGGCGACACGGGTATGGTACCATCTTTCCCCAGCGCTTGATGTGGAGAAGTCCCTTAGGACCTCTTCAATGGAGTCGGCGAAGCTCTCATGCAGGTCTGGTATTGCTGTCCTAGCCTTGTTGTAACCTGCGATCAGACGTTTTTTTTTGTTTTTCGGAAGAACGACACCTGATCGCAGGTTAGCGCTGTGTCCTTTTGTGCTAGGGTTGAGGGCTTACCTTCCTACCCACCAGAGAGTGGTCACTGTCACAGTCAGCGCTGTGTTAGCTGCGCGTACTGAGGACACAGTTAAGAAGGGGTCTTGAAGTGATAACAAGATCCAGCGGGTGCCTGCAGTGACGGAATCTTATCTGGGGTGTGACGCCAGGATAGTTCATGGTTAGGCTTGGTTGAGACGGAGATGTTGGTTACGGATATTTCCATGGTACTTAATGCCCTAAATTTCCGAGTTCTAGAAACACTCTCAGTTCAAAACGAGGCTATGTACAGTACAAAACCTTTCGTTCAAAAAGGACTTTTGTTTGCGTGAAATAAAAAAAAATCATTTTCATGTCTATGGCTTCGCACTTTGCCTCGCTTCGAATAAAAGTCCTTTACAAGTTACTTAATATTTAATGAAAGTCAATTCCCTTCATCGACTTTATTGTTTTGTCGTTTGTTTGTTTTTTCAGGTACAGAAAAGCCTGAATGCGAGCCTTACTGGACCATAGATGACAACACCAGACGGAAAAGTTTCACGGCTTCACGAAGTAGTAAGAATGACTACTATTTGGCTGAAGGATGGTACAGGTTTATATCAGGCAAACAAATGTCTACAAGTTGTAGTTATAGATCCAGCTATTGCGATACTTCATATGCAGGATGGTTGCAGGGAAGCCATCCGTCAGTAAAGGAAGGGGTGGTCTCTCGGAAAGTGTGTTTTGGCAATACTGGTTCACGTGGTTACAGTAGTTACTGTAGTTGTCAATATAGTACATATATAAAGGTGCGAAACTGCGGTTCTTTATACATCTACAAACTGAAACCCACACCAAATCAGAACTGTCGTTATTGTACTGAATACTAACAGAGTCAAATGAAAAAGCAGTATTATAGGGAAAGTATATCACTAGGAAAACAAGTCCTTCTAGTTTTCTAACCAGCCGAATCTTGTCTAACAAAGAGTTAACTGACACACTTATGTAATCTCACCCCCCATATAGGCCCTATAGGCCAAACCTTGCTAAACGTCATTCTTTTCATTTTTGCTGATTAGCATACAAGTTAACCAATTGAAGACGTCGCCGCAGTATATATCTATTAAATTCAAAAGTTGAATGAGTTGGTCAAATTGAGCAGTTTGTGCAAGTTTTAGCTCGCTGCAACCTATAACTAAAAACTGCGAAATTGCTGAGTGGCAGAAATATAGGAGAATTTTTACGAACTATTCATATATCGGGTTCACATTGTCAGAGATCGCTTAAATTGTTATCCTCTTTCAATATTCACACCACAATGTTATTTTATTAAGTTAATAAGATAATGATGAGCATCATGTGAATGAGGCAAAAATGTAAACAAGGATTCGAATTACTCGAACCAAACCAGTGTATCATAGTTTTACAACCCTTAGTGACTGTTTGCTTAGCTTCTCAGGTCATTTGTTCAACAGCCAAGTTAATCTAGTCAATTCAAACACCATTTGCCAAAGATAGCATGAATAAAAGCGTGCGGAAAAAAGTGCTTTGACTGCTAAGCTCTAGGTCTTATTTGTATCTGTTTTACTGATTCTTCGTACAGAGTATGTTTAAAAAGTAGGAGCTCTTCACACGCTATGCCTTTTTGACGTTAATTAAAATCGTATGACCCACGCTACGAGAACAAAAAATGTTAGTATAATTGGTTTATTACAATAGACCATTTACAAGATGACGTCATTTAACTACGATGAGAATTTACAGGCTTTTGCCTTCTTGTGCAGATAGGACAATCACATGACTTTTGGAGGGCATTTAGTTTATTTGTGGCCCGAGTAGCATCATTTGCGCCCGAGCGGAGAGAGGGTGCAAATGATGCTACGAGAGACACAAATAAACTATATGCCCGACAAAAGTAATGTCGGGCAGTGATTGTCATTATTTAATCATTACTCACGCCTATAAGCCAAATCTTACAAATTTATTTAGTAAGGAAAGATTGTTAAAAATCATGTTGCGGGCTGCCCGCGCTTTAATTTGCCGTCTGGTCGGCGAAAAAAAGCGTTTAGAGAGGTCAGTTTGTCATTTGCCCGCAATTGAATAAAGAAAAAACGAAAAGAATCCCAGTCGTATTAGTAAAATCATTTGATGGGCTCCTGTAAAATGAAATGGTCTATTGTAATAATATCACATCTAACAGCACTGAGTGAGCTGGAGAGGCCTTACAAGTTCGTTCCTCTAGTTTCATGCGTTATAACGTTTCATCAAAACTATATTATTGCATGAAATTTCTAGAAGATGTTTATTGCTCCATCGAGTACATGTATTCAGAATTTCAGTAACCAGTATTCCCCCTTTGTTTTTTTTTGGTTTTTTTTTATCACATTCTGTAGTGTTTGCGACATGGAATAGGATACAGCGTGTAGAGCCACAGATTATCTATTTTGAGCTTTTTCATTACCTGGTACGCAAGAGCCACTTCTCCACTTCTGCCCCCGCCCCCGAAACAACACTTTTTTTTAGCCTACGCAGTTGAAAAAAATATACTTTAAGCATTCATCCAAAAACTGCAAGATAATCATCCCAGCCCCTATCCTCAGTAACGCTTTTGTACCTCTTTACACATTTGAGACGAGCTGCTCGTGTTTGGCAGAACGATAACAGAGGTTTTGTTGCCATCTCTGGACTCTAAACTTGGCTTGCTAACTATTGTTGAGTTGTCTCTTTTGTATCTAACCTTCTTCAAAACTATTTTAGCCGCTTTATTCAGGAAAATCAGTCTTCCCCTTCTTTTTTGTCTTCAAAACCTTCATTTCTCGATGACCATTTCACCATCCAAGATTCGGATTTTTCCAGTTTTTTTTAGCAGTTATTTCTACTGATAAGCCGGTAAATCGAAGTAAACTTCTTTATGCTTCCATGTAGCTGAACGTTTTTGCGTTTAGAGGGTTTTTTCTTTCATGATATTCACAAAAAAACAAGGAAGGAGTTTGAACAAACCGGGCTCTCACAAAATACAAAAAATTATTGTGCCCGGAAAATGCACTCGTGCACCCGCCGCCTTGGGCGCGGAGGGACACAAATAGCATAAAATATTAAATTATATTGAAAGACACAACTTTTGTCGAATCGATTTGATGACCAAGTCCAATCGGACTACATTACAGTCTTATAAAGTGGAGGAACGAACTTTTCGGACACCCTGTATATATCTCACTACTAGCAGCAGAGAATAACCAGGCCTCAATTGTTCGCTTGGGAGGTCTAAGAGGGAGCAAAATGAATCGATACTGAAACAAACTTACAAAGACATACCTACTCTGCGAGCATATGAAAAAAAGATATGTGGAACTTTTGATGAACATTAAGTCTCAAAAATTTTAATTATGAACGGTCGGCCCACTCCCTTAATATAGAAAAAAAAAACGGAAAAAAGGCTTTGGCATAAAATGACACCGTTTCTCTTATTAGTTAAAAGTTGGTCCTGGCTTCCTGGCTAGCAGGCTGGGAAACGACTAGCTGTTAAATTAAACTGTTCCCACTTCTGGAGAAACATTGGTTATAACTACGAAGAACTACAAAGGACCGTAAACGAATACGCCGCAGAACGAAGGATCTGCAGAAGAACTCATCAGAAAAAAATATACAAAGTTGGACTAGGAATGTTTTTTATTAATTTCTCAAGTGCTAAAGCCAATACTTTGGTCCTTTAGCTACCACATGGAAGTCATCGAAACCTGTCATTGATTTTATTATTATAATCATCATGATAATTATTGTTCCATCATTATGATTATTACCATGATTTGTTATTTTCGTTTAATTTCGATATCATTACTATTATCGTTATCGTTGTATTCGAAATACTGCCTGTCCTCTTCAAGCCACAAGTCAGGTGTTTGCTTTGGTTCCAATCGGGTCACAACAACATGGTAGACAAAGAGGCCATTTGGTGAATGTGCTACCGCGATATTTATTCATTTACGTGCCACGGTCAGGTCTTAAACTTGCAGTACAAGAGTCAGCCTGAAGAGTGGGTATAATAATCCACTGTATTTGTTCAGTTTCCCTTTTTTAGTGTATTGTTACATGTCTTGACATTTGTACTGTAAACGTCAGTACTCTTTTAACGTATAAATCGGGGTAGATTCAATCAGTCAGAGAGAAGAGTGACTGACACGCACTGGGAGATCGAGGAAGATTCATGACTCTTCCCTTTCGGCCAGGCTCCGCGCGCTCTCTTTTTGAGTTTCCCATGCAGCCAAGTCCCGCACAACACAAAGAGGCCTCTGTGGAGGAGAGAGGAACAGGCTTTAATTCGCTAAATTAGTTGAAAATTAGTAAAATAAATATATTATTTTAAATGTAAATTGCAGGTCACTTGAGAAATATATGACGGCACCATATATTTTCCCACAACGCCGGGGCGAACAGCCTAGAAGGATGGGAAATGACTTGCTGTTAAAACAAACTATTCCTACTTCATGTCGGTTATAATTTACGCCCTCGAGCAAACCATGCAACAACTTGCATTTGACCGAGAGGATGTCGTGAAAGGAGAATTTTAAACGGAGTAAAAAGTTGTTAAATATTGATTTATTACTGATATAAAATTGCGCTTTCCTATGGCGTGGACGTCTTGTTTTAATGTCAATGTTTTTGTCAGCTCCAGCTATCTGCTGATTCGCCTTTTGTCTTTCCTGGAAAACCCAAGTTTTACCTGTAGCTTTTCTCGGAAAAGCTGGCTTAGACCGGATTTGTTCCATCTACTTTTCGTTCAGTTTAGAAATGAAGATACTGCAAAAAAAACTTAAATAGAGAAGTTAACGAGGACTGAATAACGATATGAGATAGAGTGACATTCTAAAATTAAAACCAATATTGCACCACTTGTCAGCTTTTCAGGAATAACGATCGGAGTGTATAGCACAATAGTCCTGCCTTAGTGATGTTTATGACAGTACGGTGTAATTAATATCAGACTCATATCCGATCTTTCTTGACAAAATGATGACCTCCAAGACCCACTCAGGGGGTGATTTAATATCATGAAGAAACAAAGACTAGAATTTCATAATCTCTATAGACAATTCTATCTGCGCCAATGGCGTCAACTCGCTCTTCATCAAATCTCCACACCGTTGTGTCAGGTCTTCATCTGATTTTTACAATCGCATCGGTTGCTTTTCTTTCTTTCAAAGTCTATCACCTCGAGTGTGAGCTTTCCTTAATTCGAGGAAAAGTTTCGTTAAGTGAAGGCGACATAAAAGTGACCGAAGTGACCCCGCTGTCTGCAGATTCAAATAATGAAGAGCTCAGAAGTGAAAGAAATCGCCGAGATGATCAACAGAAGCTCAAATCATATACAGGAGACAACCTCAAGGCAGCATGTGTCCACAAGTTGTTGGGCGATCGTCGGGTATCAAATTGTTTCCGTTTAATTTGTAGCATTTTTGTACAATTACTGAGCGATCGAGTTGCAAGTTTCCGTTGGGACATATCTAGGTAGTGCGTCAGTGTTGCGAGTGTGCGAGTGTGCGTACGTGATCACTAGCCCTGGCACTCATAAACTATAGAAAAAGCGCAAAAATGTTGAATTAAGCAGTGCATTAGAAAAGTGCAGCAACTTTTAGACCTTCGGTATGATTTTCTTTGAATCCCAATTTCCATGACCCGTTGAGTAATTATAACATCCACGATGGGAACCATTTTGAACTGATGGCACAGCATATTTCGTATCTCCCTATTTTACCAAGTGCTGCTACTCAAATCACTGAAAAACCTACGTAGACTGTTTCCCTTCCCTGATTTCAAGTGATAGTCCTGATCTTGGTATCTAAGCACCAAGGAGGGCTGGGTAGAGGTGGAGGCGGGATAGAAGATCCATTTGATACTCTTTTACTCTTTTACTCCTTTACAGCATTGCAGCAAGCGCTCGTCGATTTGACGATGATACGAAAAAGTAGAGGATTGTAAACAGTCTTTCCCTCAATTAAGAAATCATATAGGAAGTTCCCTCGTGAGCTTCCGGAGCCTCGGTAGACTAACTATAAGTATATGTTCATAGTGTAAGTTGCTCTAGTACTAGGCTGAGTCATCAACTGAGCACAGTCGACCCACGATCCATTACAGTTTAACTTACGTATTTGAATCGAAGGACCTCTTGCCTCGGGGGGGTAGTGCTCCCTTACATTTGTCTTATAGGTAACGTTTGTGCCGCCCCAGAGGGTATGGTTTGTGAGCCCTTTAGGTCTGAAAACCTGCCTATTTTCGTCTGAACTTGAAGGGTATGTTTTTCCAGGGACTGAATACGGGTCGGAGTGCATGAACTCATTTGTCGTTTTAAGTCCAAATGAATAAGAAAGAAAGACCAATATGCGAATTCGAAATGGATTTTAAGAAATCTTTTTGTTGGCGTTCTAATCTAAGTAATTATATCATAATTTATACCTACGCTAGGTCTGAAAACGGGCATGGATCGAAGTTTGGTTTGAGACAGTATTGTCAAGATTAATAGAACCAGTTTGCACATCCCCAACACGAATTCCCAGGAATACCTCCCACGGGTACTGTACAAATGTTTGTGATCATGTGAGAGATTAGCCTGTAGTGCAGGCGTATTTTGGGCGGGCGAAAGCTGCTTGCATGTTTATGTACGTACTGTTGTAACCGCTATCTTTGTTATTACGGAGCAAGATTAGGGAGAGTAAAAACCATTTTCTCCCCTCTTTTCGAGTTTTAACATGCAACATGCGCTTTCGCGAGCAAAACATTCGCGCGCCGAAAGAAAACGCCTGCAATGCAGGCTAGCGAGAGATGGAAAATACCAAATATCTTGGTATTTGCTTCGAGTTATTTCTTACCAATCTTGTAAATAATTGACTTGCAATAACTTGTGTCACGTTTATATTATTATGGTCTGGAATAATTTTTTCTTCAGGTCATCGATGATGCAATCAATGGAACTGGAAGACTTGTCTGTTTGAGAGGTCAGTACAAATTAATCCAAAAAGCATCCTTGATCGACGTACTCGGTCGGCATGTCGGTAGAGTGTCGGTCGAATGTCACGGGTCAAGTATCCGTCACAGTGTGTGGCCGATAGTTCCAATTCGAAACAGAAACGTTACTCTGAGGTCCCCTTTCAGGTCCTCAAGGCCCACCTGAGGACAACCAGGTCCACGAGGTCATCGCGGTAAAACAGGACGACCAGGTTTACCAGGTCGTCGTGGCCATCAAGGAATGCCTGGCAAAAACGGATCTCCTGGAAGGAGAGGTCCTCGAGGGAAACCAGGAAAGGGTTCCCATGTTAATGTTACCGAGATTGAAAACCTTCTAGAAATATTGCAGACATACAGTCCTGAGGATATAACATTGTTTGGTTAGTACAAATCCTTTGGAAAGATATTCGAGATTGCAAATCACTTTCTCTCCTTTTTTTCAGTAGTTAGTGGGTTCATTTTTTTTTTATGTACACCCAACAGCTCCGCCTCGATTTACAAAGAAACCCCCTTCTTTCATTGTCATTAAGGAGGGTGGTAATATATCATTCAGTTTTTCTACATCCGGGAATCCGGCACCCAAGATCACGTGGTCTATGCAGGGTAAAAGCCGAGAAAGCAGAGCTCGATTCAGGATACTAGATGACAAGTTTGAGATGGACAATGTCCGCTTCGAAGACGAGGGATTAATCACTTGTCACGCGGAAAATATGTTTGGTGTTGAAGTATCCAAAGTGAATCTCACTGTTTTAGGTGAGTTGTTATTATTGTTGATTTCAAAACGTGGCATACCCTGAGGAGTGCGTGACAAACAGACCATTTAGGAGGAAGGATTAACACAGTTAGTGCTCGCGCTTTCTTCCTTCCTTTCCGTGTAGCTGTAAGTAGCTTCAAATACCCGTATAACGGAGCACTGATGAAGAGAGGGAGCGGGGTAAAATAAGCGCACCGTCGGCCTCAGGTTTATTAGTCACATGACTATGTTGAGTTACTGACGTAAAATAAGGACTCCTCAGTTTAAGCATCTCCATAGTTGCGTTATGTTTAGACGTGTGGTAAGTATTCTTCTTCCATCTTTGAATAAGTGTTCTTTGATGACTTTAAAAGCGCGTGTTTAACCTTACTTTGTCTCTTTTTTTTTTTCCTTGCAGGAGCGCCAAGGTTTCCCAAGTCTCCTCCAGTAAAATTGTACGGCTTCTTAGGTACAGAAACAAAAGTGGAATGTGACCTTTTTGGAAACCCCACCCCTGAAGTTCAATGGAACAAATCTCCCTCGTCCCCTCTCCCTCTGGGACGTAGTGAGGTAAAAAAAGACGGGCTTTATATTAACAACACTAAGAAAGAGGACGAGGGCATTTACACGTGTCTTGCGACGAATGAATATGGTATGGTCATCCATGGAACATATCTCATAGTAAAGGCAGCAGGTAAGTGTAAGAACTTAGAAAATTAACTACAAAGGACCGTAAACGAATATGCCGCAGAACGAAGTATCTTCAGAAGAACTGATTAGCAAAAGTCTACAAAGTTGGACTACGAATGTTCTTTGACAATTTCTCAAGTACTAAAGCCAATACTTTGATCCTTTGGCTACCACATGGAAGTCATCTAAACCTTTCATTTATTTTTATTATTATAATGATTATTGTACCATCATTACCAGTATTACCATCGTTATTTTCGTTTTCGATACCATTATCATTATCGTGATCGTTAACGTTTTCACTATTATTCAAAACATTGCCTGTCCTCTTCAACCCACAAGTCAGGTCTTTGCTTTGGTTTCAATTTGGTCGCAAGAACATGGTAGACAAAGAGGCCACTTGGTGAATATACCGTGATATTTATTCATTTACATGCCATGGTCAGGTCTTTCATTCGGCAATATACCAATAAGCTCTTTGCACCTGGTCATTCATGTGGTACTAAACTGCTTGCAGTCCGTCCACCTCCTAGGCTGAATTTCATCCGATTACTTCGAGTCGATATTACTCCCTCAGTAACGTCTGAATCGACCGGCCGTTAATGCCGTCCAGTGACGTCACTACTCCTTTACTTTTATTCACGCAAAAAGTTAAACACTATTTTCAAGTGGCAAACCAAGAAAAATCGTTTGGAAATGTCTGCATGATACAGAATGGCTTTACTTTTTTCGATCGTAATTCATGTTTCGCGTTCAAACTATCAACTGCATGCAGTATTCTGCCGGTTGTAATTCCATAATCAAACTTGGTCGCAATCACGCAATGAAATGATACACACACGGAACACTTAGTTCAAAAACACAATGATTTGCTTTAATTGAAAAGAAGCCACTTAGTCCTTAACGAAGAAAGAAGAAAACAAGGAAACAAGAAAGAAAAGCTCACAGAATCATTACAACTGACAGTGAAAATAACTAGAAGGTCGAATTACAACATTGGTCTCATGGAACTTCGCATCAACAAAATCACTGCCGAAACTACAAAGTGGTTCTAATGAAAAACCTACCGACTCTCCGCAATCATTCTTCATTCGCAGTTCAATTTCACATTTCAGTTTCGAAGATGAGGGCAACTCTGCTGTTTACGATAAAGATTGTCGAAATGTTTGAAGTCCACTATAACATACCAGGGATGTGATCTGCTGATCGAATTATCAAGCGACAATCCCGCTAAAACTTCTCATAATTATGCATAATTATGCGGATGTTTAGACAATCAACCAATCAGAATCACTACCCGGTTTTCGGGTAGTGATGATGTCACTGGACGGCATTAACGGCTGGTCGATTCAGACGTTGCTGAGAGGAGAAAACGACTCGATCAATCGGATGAAATTTAGGCTATTCACCTCTCAAACTCCGTATAGTTCTTCTCCCAGTCAGCGAGATTGTAAACGCTCCTGTTTATCGCGACTCGCGTGCATGGTTTACGTGTGGAGTAGCTTTGCAAAGCCAAAACAGAGACTGCTCGCAGTGCACATGGCACAAACCTCCATGCTGGAGACGCACTGGGACAAGACAAACAAAGGGAATTTGCCATTATAAACGATGTGATCGCACTTCAGATGTGCTCTCTCTCCAACAAGATGGTTTTGTACCACGTGAATGACTAGCTGCAAAGGGCCTATTTGACCACTGACAAAGTAAACCAGACTTTTATTTAATCTTCATTCAGAACCACCTGTGTTTACAGTAACACCACCTGAAGCAGTCAATATATCCGGTGTAGAGGAACCAGTTAGAATCAACTGCTCAGCTACAGGCTCCCCTTTACCCAAAATCACTTGGTACAAGTACAATATTACCTTACCAGCGAACATTTACATCAACGATGACGAAGTAACTAGCGAGCTCATGATTGGTCAGCCTAAGCCTTCGCTCCAGAACACATATACATGCGTTGCTCGTAACTTGTATAACGACGAAGTAAAGACAACTACAAAGATAGGTGAGACTCGTACTTTGAAATGTAAGCGGGATACCTTACGAGAAGATGCCCTTTGATTCCTGCTGATTTTTCTTGGGGATTAACAAAGTGAGTTAACAAGGAGATCACAAGTGAAACCTCTAGCTACTTGCGGGTTTAATTTAAGAGACGGCAGTCATTTGAGACTAAATATGAAAACAAGTCCACTCGCTTTTGCGCTGCATTTGTGTATGTAATAAGACTTCATTTTGACTGTCCAAGTTAGAAATAATTGGATGTAAAAAAAAATTCCGAGGACAACCACGGCTTTTCACACTTTGCCATTTTCTAATCAAGTAAAAATTAAAAAAAAAACGCTCTTTCTGAGTGATAACGACATACACAGCAACAAGAAGCCGATAGCGTTCGCTGACGAATCGCCGTCAGCTAACAAAACTTTTAAGGCCTGTTGACAGATTGATTTTGCCCTGATCGGCTAATTTGAAGAGCCCGTTTTATTTTCTGGCATTTGATTGGCTCAGACAAGCTGTCCTATTTTTCTTAAACTGGACAGTTTGCCTATTTCTAAAAGAGAGAGTCCTATCTCAAACTGTCAAAAAATTAATCCTTGATTAAACAGCGTTTAAAAAATCAAAAGATTATAGTCAGATTAACTACCAGTTGTATAATTGATTTTTTTTAACATCACAATACCTGCACTAAGAAGTTAAATCAAAAAAACTGATTTCATATATACCATTCCGGGAGCATTTTGGAGAAATGTATTACCGCGCGCTGATGAAAAACTATGAATTTTTGGTATTTATAACTCACGTCTTGAATGCTACAACCATCCAGCCTTTCCTTTCTGTTTTTCAGTTTTACGCGCGTGTGGTGACCCAGGAAAACCAGATAATGCAATTATTGTCAGCCAGAGCAAGAATTACTGGACAGGAGAATATGTCAGATACCTCTGTAATCCGGGTTATGCCATGGTTGGTCCTGCTGTCAGAAGATGCTTGGTCGGCGGCAAATGGAGTGGAAATGTACCAACATGTAAGACTTAGGTCATTAAGAAAGTGTGCTGGAGTACCTAAAGGTCTTAATAGGCAAATTTTCAGAGATCCAGAAACTCTCACTTTCAAAACGAGGCTAAGAGCAAAACGTTTCATTTAAAAATGAGTTTTACACATCATTTGTTATCCATGGCTTCGCACTCAATCTCGCTTTGAAGCAGACGCTTGGGGCAACTCGTATTATGGCTTATTATGCCGGAAATATATTTTTCCTTTCCCTACCACTGAAAGTTCTTATTTTAAAAAAATCAATTCGCTTCACCGACACTTTATTTTGTTGTCCTTTGTCTGTTTGTTTTTTCCAGGTACAGAAAAACCTGAATGCGAGCCTTACTGGACCATAGATGACAACACCAGACGGAAAGGTTTCACGGCGTCACGGAGTAGTAAGAATGACTACTATTTGGCTGAAGGATGGTACAGGTTTATATCAGGCAAACAAATGTCCACAAGTTGTACTTACAGATCCGGCTATTGCGATACTTCATTTGCAGGATGGTTGCAGGGAAGCCATCCGTCAGTTAAGGATGGCGTGGTCTCTCGGAAAGTATGTTTTGGCTATTCTGGTGGTTATGGTGGTAACTGTTGTCTTTATAGTACATATATAAAGATGCGCAACTGTGGTTCTTTCTACGTCTACAAACTGAAACCCACACCAAATTCTAACTGTCGTTATTGTACTGAATACTAACAGAGTCAACTTACCGAGCAGCGTACTTAGATAATTGTAGACGATATTACATGGCCTCGCGGAGAGACGAAATGTCTCTTCAAGTGTGGAATACGAGAAGAGAAATTTCATGTTTTAAAGGGGCCATACGATGTTCTATTCATTACATAAACACCAATGAAATACCAAACCATTTCACTTGAATATTTTTTTGGGGCTGCCGGCGAAAGACGTGATTTATCGTGTAACCATAGCAACGGAGATCTTTTCACTTGTGAAGGTATCAAATTTACGCGGGAAGGCTCACCTGGTATATCATTGGTGTTTAAATAATAAAAGGTAACTGCAAATAAACTATCACTTAATGTCAAGAAAACTAACTATATAATTTTTCATCCTTACCAGAAGCGCTTAAATTACGACGTCAATATTAAAATTCTTGATAGCCGTGTAAATAAATATTTTAACCTTGAACGTAAAGAGTATGTCAAATATCTAGGGGTCATGATTGACAACCATCTTTCAGCATCTTGCAGTCACACAGTTCATCACAAGCAACACATTAAGGCTTAACTGTATCACACAGTAACATTAATAGTAAGAAATGTCTCACCCATGAAGGAGCCTCCAACCAACCAACCTATGCCACTGATATTAATATTATAACGGAAAAGTGGCATAGGTTGGTTGGTTGGAGGCTCCTTCATGGGTGAGACATTTCTTACTATTAATGTTACTGTGTGATACAGTTAAGCCTTAATGTGTTGCTTGTGATGGACTGTGTGACTGCGAAATGCGGTTCGCAAGTCTAACCCACAAAAAATGACCCTTACTCGCCAATGAGTCCTCAGTAGCTCAGAGGTTAGAGCATCCGATCTAGAACACGGAGGGTCGTGGGTTCGAATCCCATCTGGGGCTCAGGTTTTTTCTGTGTCTTCGTATGGTTGATTCTTTACATCTCCCTTTATTCCCTTTTATCAATCACTAAGGAAAATTCAATCCTTCCAATTTTATAACCTTAAGAAGCATATCCGATTAGTACCCACAACTCTCTTCTAACATACAATAGCCTCATGGTAGTCCGAACCCACCGTAACTCAAATCCTGCCCAAAAACTCGAATTGGAACCAAAATTGATTTTCCCTGGACTTGCTTATAGTAGATCTACCACAGTTTTACCCTCGATAACTCAAATCTTCCGCTGTATCTCAATTTTTTGCCTCTTTCTTATTAAGAGGAAATGTCCACTAAGATCGACCCGAATCGAAAATTCGTGGTACTTGATGAAAAATCAAAAGTACTGGTATTTCGTCCGGAGATACCCTATGATAGCCTTAGAAACATGGTGGCATTTTTTTCTTGAAATATTTTTTATTTTTTTAATTTGCTTAGAATTCTTTAATTAAGCGTACTTTTTCAAGAGTCTTTTTTCCTACCCGGTAAAATGCCAAATTTTCTAAAAATAGTAAGTTTGATAAGAGGAAATGACGTTCTAAAACCAGGCTTAAAAAATGGTTTCGGGCTTTTTATTGAAACCGAGTAATAACGCTCTGAAATCCTGAATAAATCACAACATGAGCCTGTAATCCTGAACTCCGGGGAGACACCATCCTTCAACTAAATAACCAAAAAAATGGATATTTCTTCTTCCCTTTCACCGTGCAGTATGGACCTGTAAACCACGGTCCAAGGTAGAAAGGCGATGTTCAGCTTGCGTAAACGGTAACATTCTAAATATCGGGATCTGAGTATATCGTGTCGCTGAATACCAACCGACTTTGACATGGAGTCGATCGAAGTGCATCTTCAGTCATCCGAGTCAAGTGTCGCTACTTTTAAGCCCACTCAGATGTCCTATTTTTGTCCCGCATCCTTTTTTAGAGCTTTCTACAAAGAAAATAACCTTAATTTCCTTTAAAAATTTCATAGCAATTTTCCTCGAAGTCGATGCTAGACGATAATTTTTTTTGCCAACAGCGTACACAAATCGTGTCCGTTTTACGTTCATGTCACGGAATAGAAAGGTCACACCTTATCCTGTGTGCGATTAGGATCATTTTGATTCCTGAACCCGGTTAAGGCAGGGGGTGGTACTCGGGCTGAAAACTAAACTGATTTAGTAAAATCCAACCAGTGGTCTATTATAAAATACAGCGTTCTGATTGGTTGAGCTACTACTTGGCTAATTATGTTATAGCCCACTTAAGTAGCAATATTGGCACCGACTTTGAAAACTATACAATGGCGGCTGAATCACGTTTTGTTAGCTTAAGTTGTTTTGCCTCGATATTTTTTGACTAACTAGTTGGATTTTACTGAAACAATTGTTCCTCTCGCCCTCATGGCCTCTGAGTATAGCCCCTGGATAGGTCATTCGGCCTTCGACCTCAATGGGCTATTGATTCAGAGCCCATTATTCGGGCTCGAGGAATAAATATACCTTTGGATGAGTAAAAACCTATTGAAACTTAATCAAGACAACACTGAACTTGTCGTCATTAGCTCCAAATTTCGAAATAGACCAAATCTTGAATATGTTCGGGTTAGAGATGAGTTCATTGCTCCAGTAAGTTGTTTGTACGTAACCTAGGAGTCATCATGGACAATGGCTTTTGCATGGAACAACATGTAAAAAAGATATGTAGTGAGGCAAATTATCATTTCAGGAACATATCAAAGATTCACAAATATCTCACCCAGGACTCTGCACAAATTTTCATCAAAGCTTTTATTAGTTCTAAGCTTGCGGACTACCGTAACTCACTTCTATATGGTATTCCAAAATACTTAGTTTGTAGATTACAGCGTGTTCATGCAGGAATACGGCTGCCGCAGCTCGCATTGTTACGTTAACAAGGTAGTATGATTCGATTCCCCCAATATTGTTCAAGCTACACTCAGTCTGGCTCCCCGTTCATTCACGTATTATTTTAAAGCTCCTATTATTAGTCTATAAAGCACTCAATGGCAAAGCATCTTCTTATATTTCTGGTCCCCTGAGCCATCGTAGCTGCTCTCGGTCTTTCCGCTCCAGTGGGCAAGAACTGCTCACTTTGCCACTGGCTAAACCAAGACTTATGGAGATCGGGCGTTCAGCATTGCTGCGCCAAGAAAATGGAATAACTTCCATCAATCGCTATTTTCAAAAGACATTTAAAGACTTATCTTTTTAAACAAGTCTATGATTTTTAACTTCTTTGTTTAATACACGCTTTTTTCTATTTCTTTCATTATTGGTAATTTTATATTAGTATTTTTAGATTTTAGTTTTTTAACTTTCGTTTCCTGTACAATGAATGAATTATATATTTTTAAGCTTTGTAACTAACTTATCTCGGTTTTTTAATTCTATTTTTAGCTTTTAGGTTCTACTTTAACATAATCATTGTAAAGCGCTACGAAAGAGTAGCTGAATAGCGCTATATAAATTATTATTTTTTGAGTTATTATTCAATTGTCAAGTATCCAAACATGGAAAAAACAATCAAATAAACAAAAACAAAACATAACAATACATAATACTTGAAGAAAAAGCGAAATCCTCGGTTGAGTTTACCATCAACGGTTAAATGAAGCTCCTCAAGCAAGGCTTTTCATAGATAATTTAAAACACTGGTTGGGGGACTTTGGCTAGTCTGCTTGTGGTCCATTTACAATTTACGAAGTATACGCTCATGGACCCTCCTTCACTGATAGATAGACAACAGCACCAGGGACTATACGTTGGCTTTGCGAACAGTGTGTGGGGTCTTAAAACGGGCCAACTGTTTAATCCGAGAGAGGGGTTAATGTCCTAAATCGAGATCAGACTAGAACGTTTAACCGTTTGCAGATGTCATCATAAAGGCAGCACTTTCTCCTCAGTTATTCATAGACCCAAGTTATTGGTCCGTCCCGGCTTTAAACCCGAGATCTTCCGCTCAGTGGATACGGGCACTTATCCAACTGAGCTAACCGGGCGGCGGCCTAACTGTTACACCTGAGATGACAAAAGGCGAAAGAAAGAGCAAATGTAATCTTTTTAACTGCTCACTGCATTGTAAAGAAGTTATACAGCTGTTGGAATGCCAACCCACACAGCAGATTGTAAGCGTCAATAACAACCTTAGCCTAACTGGTGATGCATACCTTCCGGACTTTTTGGCTACCTACCTGCAAGGGGCCGGTCTTTTTGGGACATCATTGCAATTCAGTTCTTTCATTAACTGCAGGTTAACTTGGCATGTCATCACATTGCCCAGACTTGTCCTTCAATGCTCTTACCCGTCCGCAACTCCCCGTGTTTCTGGCACTTAACAATGGTCTCTCAGTAGCCTCTGTAGGGACTTTACAAGACGATAACGACGACAACTGTGAAAACGCCACTGAGTAATAACTGACTTGACATCCTTTTGAACTTGTACGCTGTTCACCCATTTAACAGTTACACAATTGAGTTTGATCAGGAGCTCAATAGGCTCCTTGTTAGATTTGAAAAGAGGGGACCCCGTTGGAGCTCTCCTCTTGCTGTTTACGTTCTCTTAAAAACTAAAACTTTAGTCAGTTTCACTTCTTAGTTGACGGAGAACAGAAGGAAACTTACAGAAAAGCGTAAACTTGACTAAGGCCTCGCGTCGACGCCTTCACAGTTTCGCAAGGTCCGTAATAATAGGGCTACAGTCATGCCAACGTATACGCAAGCAACCATGGACAGATCACCGGAGCGGGGTGGGGAAAGTACCCTCTAATCTGGTTTATATGGGTAGAATCGGCCTGCAAAACGTGTACCTTTTCGCCAAGCTTCGGGTGTATAAAAGAGTAGCATTTTTTATCATGTGTACCGTCTTTGCTGTCAAAATATAATGGTATATGAAAGTTTAAGAGGTTGGACCACAGGGCAGAGCCCGCAGAAATCGAGTACAAAATGTACCCTATGAACCATAATGACTGGTTGACGTAAACGACGGAGTTTGTTTCATCACTGTTTTATTGCAGGATTTTTATTGCTTCAACTGATATAAAAGTATCTTTATTGCAAATTTGCAAATCGAACGATGGGACTAAAAAATTCCTTCGCTATTTTGGACGTTGCATGAAAGGGTTTCTGATAACTAGCGTCACGTTCCATTAACTACATTTTACTGGCCATGGCGTGACAGTAAAATTGCTTTTAGCGGTTTAGGTAATTATGTCAATTATTGGTTCGGTAATAAGCGGGCCAGAAACACAGAAACCTCGTCAAAGGTATTCTGTTTTTTTTTTGTTTTGTTTTTTTTTGTTTTTTTTTGTATCCAACTGCGTTATGCCCCTGCCAAGCTATGGCCTTTTTTTAGAGGTAAAGATCGAAGAGAGTCTATTAGTAGGTAAAATCGTCAAAATAAACTTAAAACTCCTTAGGGTTTAAAAAGTAGTAATGGCCTGTGCCGAACGGATAGAAAATTTAATAATTTTCAAGTGGGAACCTAAATTGAACCATATCCGACAGGCAATTGGAAATACAATCTGAAACTGCAGATAGCATGTGACCACTATGTCATACGGTGGCTTCTTGGATCTTGAAACAAATTCTATATTGCATAATGCAATTTCACTTGCATGGGGTCTGAGAGAATATTATTCAGTAACAGTTCTAGATTATTGGGTGTTTCTTGATGTTGCGAAAACAAATGTTGGTTCGCTTTTTTTGTTTTTGTTCGTTTGTTTGTGTGTTTTCAATCTTTTGTATTACGTCATTTGGTGCCGATTGCACCAGTCCACAACACCACGAAACTACCAGACTTAAGCACAGCGTCCATTCTAAAAAAGCACCTGATGTCAACTGAAGTGCATAGCTGTCTTTTGTAAAGAATTCTCTATTGTTTCAGTTATACGCGATGGTAAAAACCGAATCTTTTGCTAAAACGATTAAGGGCTGTATAATACGTATAATATAATACTCCGCGATCAAGTATAATCCGTTTTTGCATGTGAAGGAATGAAACGTTTTCGAAAACTGCAGCTCAAGCCAAAAAATGCAGGGACAAGTTTTTTCGTGTTATCCGAAAAATGCTACGTAATTTAAACTATTTTTCTAAGGGGCTTTTCCCGATAAAAAGAAAGAGCCTAGAACTGCAAAGCCCATGCTATCAAAAGGCAAAAAGATTAAACAACAACTGAGATCAAAGTATCCCGATCCATCAATTCCACGAGCCGAGGAAACCTAAGAGAGTTGGCCCTAAAGTTCATATTCTAGTAAAATAATCCTTAAAAAATAAATCATGAAAAATAAAATAAATAAAACCGAGCGGTTGATTAAGCGAAAGCCGGCCTGACCTCACAAGGAGCAGTTTTAAAATAACTTTTTTCCTGAAAATTTAGAATAAAGGGTAAAAATGTCGCTTAAAAATAACTACTTCTATTGGTAGCGAATTGAAAAATTGAATCCTGGGTAGTTTGGATGATATAAAAGTTGGACTGAAAATCTCAATCAGGTGCAGCCATTTACCACTTGATGAACAAGACTAAGAAAAACTTCTAGGATTTCATTACGCTGTCATTTTAATACATTAAGCAGGTTCTAATGCCGTCGCTAGTCGATCTCACTCGTGCAAGTATGGCGTCAGGTCGCGATATACCGAACCTCTCCACTATTGTGTCAGGCCTTCATCTGATTTTTACACTCACATCAGTCGCTTTTTTCACGTACAAAGTTTATTTCTTGGAGAATGAACTGTCCTTAATTAGAAGAGAAGTGCCTTTTCGTACAGCCCAAGAGTCAACTGTCGACAAAGCAACTCCACCTAGCATAGTTCAAAGCCGCGAAGAGCAAAGAAGTCGACGGAACGGCCGAGCCGGAAAGGGGAAATCTGAATCGTCATCAGCAACCGACAAGCTCAAAGCAGTATGTGTCCAGAAATTGCTCAACAATCTTCAGGTTTGTAACGTATCTCTGTTTTGAACACTTGACTGAGACGGCCAAAGAGAATCCAAATCGCGAACGAAGGTTCATTAATTGCCGGACGTCACTCTATATAACAAATATCCATTCTCTAAATCATTTATTTTATCTTGTGTTAACTACCTATAAATATACCTTAGTTAAATTCACGCGATATGTTAGGCGATCGTAAATTAATGATTGAATCTGTTATCGACCGACAGTACGGTGAGGAATTTGACCCAAAATGAGCCGGGCAGTCGCTTCAAAAGGCTGGTCGGCGTCGCCCAAATAAAAAGGATTTCGTGATTACCCGCATCCAGCATATGGACTGCGTTCACGGGTCTTTGCAGCTATTTATTTACTGCTTTGTTGGCGGAGCATTTGAGAGCCTTTGAAAAAATGAGGGCTCTCTGGACTGAACACTTTTATTGAAATGAACAAACCTCCGTAAGATAGCTTACCGATCATCGCGAGACTTAAGATATTTCGGTCGTGTTTAGTAGCTATAGGATATTTTAACATTTGAATAAACGGCTTTCGAGGCATGGCAAAATTGTTGAAAAGTCGCCAGCGGTGGGGGACTTGATCATGACGTGTTATGAGGCGCTAGCCACAACCTTCTCCTCTCCTCGGCAAATGTCTTTCCTCTAGTTAGTGTTTGATAAAGGCGATGGTATAATTTTAAAAGTAATACTTTTGGAGGATTGATTCGGGAATAGAGAGCTGACCCAGTTTGACATTAAGATTTTAAAGTACCTTTACAGAATCCTATTTCTTGTTTTTTCCTTTTACAATTAAAGGTTGCTGATGACGTAGTTAAGGGAACTGGAAAAGTCGTCTGTATAAAAGGTTAGTGTCATAACAGGCTTAATATAGAGTTTCATACTCTCTTGGTTCAATATCACGTTTTTTTCCCAGTTCGGCTATTTAACAATTACTTTGAGCTACTTTGCTTAGTTGATCGAATAACGTACTGGCTTAAGCTTTGTCTTAACCGATTGATTTATTGGATATGCCCAAAATTTCCATTACAAAAAAGGCAAATAACATTAACATATAGAGAAAGAAAATAAGAATCATATGTTACTAGAAAATAAAAGAAACATGACTTCATACCAGTCAATAGGTGCAGTACGTTGTGTGGCATCATGATATTGTAATGCAAAAAAAGTCACAACACCATGGTGTAAAACAATATAGCCAAGGCATAATCGACCTTTTTTTCTTTTTTTTACGACGAGCAAAAGTAGTTTAGGGTAAAACGAGTTGAAATCTTCAGCAACCAGTCTGATTAGATTTGATTGTAAATTGGCATAGCGAGATGTTCGCTGGGCAGATATTAATTACCAATTTTACGACGAGTCGAGTATGAATGGTGCAATCCGTGATATTCTAAGACGTTTTTCGTAGCTTTCTTGATTGACTTCTTGCGTTATGATTAAAAAACGACGTTTGAGTACTGAGCGCACTGATAAAAACATATGGTGTTAAGAGTGCTTTTTTTCGTGAGGCTTAATAATCCCGGGAAATCAAGAGGTTAATTAGATTTCGTTTATGTTCCATTTTTTTACTTAACCTATATATTAAACTACAACCCTGGTCCACTATTGACGTTATCTGCGTTATGCAATCAAGTTTTTAATTGCACATAATCAACACTGCTTGGGGGAGAGAGGGACAGCGGAAATAGCAGAGGTAGAATATGTCTGAGTTAATTTAGCAAAGTGCGTCTTTGTGCCTAATTTCCTCAGCCGGTACATTCGGTGCGCTCGGTACAGTCGGTACAGCCGGTACACTCGGTACATTTGGTACAGCCGGTACAGCATGCACTCTCGGTACAGCCGGAACCGACTCTGACTTGGTACAAATGGGTACGGCCGGTCTTTTCTATTGCTGACAATAGCTGTTGTCGAGGGAGGATTCTTTGACATCCACTTTACTTCATACATCAAGGCATACAACACCTGTTCTGATGACATTGAACATACGCACAAAGCATAATAAACTAAAACTGAGGAAGAGGGTCTAAAATATGGTTGGCTTTACAAAACTAATGAAAAAGAGTCTCATCTTGATGGAAAATACTAACAAACGCATACATGATAATTTCTCCATTAAAAAATCCTATTGCTCTCGCGAGCTGGCCAATCAGAGAGTCGCTTTGGATAGGGGAAGGACGACCCCAAGTGCCCCAAGATTTTTTGACAAGTGTTTTATAGTTACCGAATGGGTGTGAAAAACATGTGTGTTGTTGCCATTATACGTTATTTCATTTTATTTTGGAGGGAGGGAGAGGGGGAGGAGGTTGTGCAATTTCTCCCGTATATTTTTTATTTTTTATTTTTTTTGCAACAAAACCCTTTGCAGGAGTTTGTTTTTTAATATCTATGTTAATATCCACGTCAGTCCTTTTTATCACAGCCCAAGCTCTATAAGTGTATTATAATACTTTGTAATTATGAAGTTCGACAGTCATCGACATTCGTACCTCTTGCAACACTTTTCGTACAGTCGAACCTCCATGCGCAACCACTTATCCAAAACACCAAAAACATTTTTCCTAGTCAAAGCTTTACAGCTGGAACCTTTAGCAACGCACCTCCTGTAAGCGATCGCGACCACTTTTAGAGCCTGACGATTAATGATTTTCTATGATCATTGTTTTTTAAACTCTAACTTGTGAGCGACCACTTGACACACTCTGATCTCTATTTTCGCAGTGCAATTGCACTGTGTTACTTAGAAAATACAAGTTAGTGAAAACATGAAACTACACATATCCTAACTTAGGCATTGGATGCAGTCTTTGCATTTTGGGCCAGGGTTGCTTTAATACGAGAGGTTCGACTGTATTTTAAAACCATTGTAAAACATTATAGAGCCATTCAAAACGTGCTCCAAACTTTCCACTAGTTCTAGTTAGCCAAGCCACTGTTACTCTACATTAACATTGGAACGACTGGCTTTCTATATACTCATTCTCGATAAAAATCTTTTGAAACAAGGCTTGAAATAACGAACCAGTTAGGCGCCATGTACATTTTCAGGTCGAACGCATATTTTTACTAAGAGCCATTTTTTCGTTATTCTTCTTGTAAACAGTTTATCACAAACATTTTCCAATGCCGATAACTTGCTCAAAAAGAAAAGACGAAAGCAAAAGAAAAACGAACATCGCATTTCCAAAAACTACGCGGTTCTCGTCGCATTTGAACATTTCTTCCAATTTTCTCAAGAACTCTCTTTGTCTCGGTTTATTCCTTGTTTCAACTTGCTAAAGTCTTTTCGAGGCCCTCACTTGCTTAATGCAAAATAATCCTGCAAAAACTTTCGAAAACGGGCGTCATATTGAACAAAAAAAAAGAAACAATCTTCCACTTACGTCATCCTTGTGTCTACACGGCTAATAGATCATAGGCAACGACCAATCACAATGCGTTAAATATTCCCCAACACATTGGACAAAAGTATTTATTGATTAGAGAAAGCTGCATTAGTCTCTGTATCTCGCTACCAGAGTTCTTACAGGTGTGGTAGAACTGGCAACTACTAGTAAGTGAGAAGCTGTCCAAAACAAACGTTCATATCAAATCTATATATCTAAATACAATGTGCTGCAGGTCCGCAGGGTCCCCCCGGACAACCAGGCTCGCCTGGTCTGCCAGGACCCCCAGGTCAACCAGGATCTCCAGGTTCACAAGGAAAAATGGGAGCACAGGGACCCCGTGGTCGCCGAGGTCGTCCAGGAACACCCGGAAAAAACGGCCCTCCTGGTAGAAAGGGTCCTCGAGGAAAACCAGGGAAGACCCTCGATGTCAATGTTACTGAGCTTCAAAACCTTGCAGAACAATTACAGACGTCTGCTCAAGGAGATATAGCAATGTTTGGTGAGTAAAACACTGAGCTAAATGTATTTTACCATAACATATTACACATGATTTCTCTCTTTATCTTTGCTGTCATTACTTTTTATATTCCATTTTCACACGAAAAAAAATATGATATGTTATTAGAACTCGTTGTGATTGATTTGATGTGATTAATCAACAGCTTCTCCTAGGTTTACAAGGAAACCCCCACCACTTATCTTCATAAAGGAGGGTGGTAATCTGACTCTAAGCATTTCCGTATCCGGCAATCCACAACCTAAAATTACTTGGTCTGTACGCCAGAAGACCCAAGGAAACAAAAGACGAGTCAAGAGTACTGAAAACAAGTTGGAGATTAAAAATGTTCGGTTTGAAGATGAAGGAGTGATCACGTACCGTGCGGAAAATGTGTTTGGTGCTCAAGAAAATGAAATAGAGCTCACTGTATTAGGTGAGTAGAAAGTTCTAGAATAGCCTAAGTGACCGTTAACTCATCCAACAACAAATAGACAAGACAAGACAATGTTTTATTTGGAGTCTTATACAGTCCTATGTATATCGACTTTATCCAAATAATTTAAAATCATGACACAAATTGCACACTAGTGGAACTATAATCAATGTTAACCTAAACAACTAATGATCTTTTCTCATAGCAATCGAATACGTATTTTGCAATTAACTTTTGCACTGCCGCTTATAATATACAAAGAACGTTAGTGGCAACATGGAACTACACATATCCTAACAGTTATGCATTGCATGCAATAAATTATCTTCAATAAAGTAGATATGCCTGGACCTCTTCTCGGAAGATACCCCCTGTGGTTCGATTCTTTCAAACGACGATCACATCCCGTAAGCGACCCCTCGCAGTCTTTTCATTTTGGGTGGTCGCTTACGAGAGGTTCGACTGTATTTTAAAACCATTGCAAAACATTAGAGAGCCATTCAAAATGTACTCCAAACTTTCCACAAGTTGTAATTAGCCAACCCACTGTTACTCTACATTGGAAAAACTGGTTTTCTTTGTATACATTCTCGATTAAAATCTTTTGAAACAAGGCTTGAAATAACTAACTAGTAACACGCCATGTACATTTTCATGTCGAACGCATTTTTGCACCAAGAGCCATTTTTCGGCAGTCAGATATTGTTAATTAAAATGATATTTAACGAATTTTGATCGAGGAACTTTGACAGGACAATTCTTATATCTCAGCTGCGAATAAACATTTTACAACACTAAGAACTTTCAAATAAAACTAATAGTAGTGCTCCCTGCCACCAAAGGAAAGCTGAGCTCTTACAGTCAAACCAGGTCAAGCGTACCCCCCAAGAAGCCATTAATGAATTTATTATTCAAAAGTTGAATCCGTTGCTAGTTGTAGATTTCAGATTGATCTCTGCATTCTTGTATGTGTAATGAGCCGTGCATTCACACGCGAGGCAGTTATGAAATTTCTACAAGCTCCATTTTCCTGAAATTGATGTAAATGTCTTCTAACAAGCTTAATCCATTCAAAGATTTCCAATCTGACCAAATACAGAGAAGTTCTCATAAAATATCCACTGCTCATTACGCATGCAGAAATGCCGCTTTGAATTTGACGCCAGTTACGGGAAAGACTGACGGATTCATTTTTCAAATAATCAATTCACTGATAGAATCTTGGGGGGTACGCTTGACTTGGTTTGACTGTAGTGTCCCTCCTTTGGTCACTTCAGTTAGGTCACGCGCATACCAATCTTGACATAGCGAAAAAAAATTGTAAATTAGAGATTAAGGAACAGTGCAATAATTATCAGAACAGAACTTCTGAAATTTGCAATAGGGGGCAAACAGTTAACTTTACCCCCTCCCTTCCCCCTTGTACAAAGGATGAAATAACATCTTAACCCTCTCTCTCTTAAAGCAACTCTTGAACACCTTCTTCAATGCAACAATTCTGACAAGTTGTTGACACCAAGTAATATTTTTGTGCGGCTAAGAATCATGAAGTTCCGAAGATGTACAGGCTGAAATTAATAGTTTATTGAAGTAACTTATAGCAGCTTTCTAAAACCTTTCATCAGCTTATTAGAAAGGAAAAGGCAGACTTCATAGACTAGTTTAGTAATGTTGCTAAGTCTCCAAAATCACAACTGAAGTTTGTCTTATGAGACTGAGTTTAATTTTCTTCACAGGTGCCCCGAGGTTTCCAAAATCTCCTCCAGGACCAGCAACTGGTTTCTTGGGTAAAGAGACAAAATTGCTTTGTGATCTTCTAGGAAACCCAACTCCTGACGTTAAATGGACCAGATCTCCCCCAGCTCCTCTCCCTCAGGGACGCAGTGAACTAAGAAAAGACGGCCTTTACATTACCAACACCAAGCTTGAGGACGGTGGGGTATACACGTGTATTGCGACCAACGAATATGGCATGGAAATTCATGGGACATTCCTCAACGTCAAGGAAGTCGGTAAGTGGCAAACTTGACCACATCAAAAACCTGACGTGATGTTTACCACTAAGTTGTAATTCTACTTTGGAACAGAAATCGTATGGCACTTTTGCCGACTGGAGAACACACAGTTTGAACAGTCCATGAATTTAAGAAACCGAGATAGGTTAGCATCTACGTACTCATAAGAATGCAGCTGATCGAAGCTATTTTTGGCGATAATAATCAGTACATGATCAGTCTGAACTTCGAGCCCAGAGATTTCCAACAAAGAATTGATTAATGAAAAGGCATTAACACGAACAATAACTTTAACTCCAGTTCTCTTTACTATATCTCTCCTCAGAACCACCTGTATTCACCTCAGTACCTCAGGCTTTGGTCAATGTATCGAGAACCGACGAAGCGATCCGAGTCAGCTGTTCCGCTAAGGGGTCACCTCTTCCTGAAATCACGTGGTACAAGAACAACATTACAATACCCTCCCCCAATAACGTCACCAGAGACGAAGTTACCAGCGAGCTTGTGATTGATCAGTTCCAGACTTCTATCCAGACACAGTATACATGTGTTGCTCGAAACGAGTATAACGATGAAGTGAAGACAAGTACCAAGTTAGGTAGGGCGCACGTTCTCCTTTTCTTGTCTAGTCCAAGAAGTCAAACAACGCGCACTCGTTTGGTTTCTTATAGAGAGGAAAATCTGTTAAAATAGCTAGGCATTTTGCAATTTCCTGAGATTTTTTTGTCGGCATATAAGAAATCGTGATGGAGGCGACCAACATCCTTAACCAGGCGAAAATTAGAGAGTGTGAACAGTTTAGAAAATAACATGAATGCATATTTTTGTCATCAAATTCCAAAGCAAGAAGCCCCTAAGCTCTGTTTACAATCAAAGTGCCACAACCATCACATTTTTAAAATCACTTAAGGTGAGCAGTTGGCAGGGCTGGGTGGGCAAAGCAAAAAAATCCACGTATACGCGGTCCAACACCCGGGGCCCTCCCTCGCCCAACACTTACTTCCAGCAGAATCATGATTTTTTTTTTCGTACTAGCAGAATTGACACAAGTTTATTTATATTCATTACAGTCAAACCAAGTCAAGCGTACCCCCCAAGATTCTATCAGTGAATTGATTATTTGAAAAATGAATCCGTTAGTCTTTCCCGTAACTGGTGTCAAATTCAAAGCGGCATTTCTGCATGCGTAATGAGCAGTGAATATTTTACGAGAACTTCTCTGTATTTGGTCAGATTGGAAATCTTTGAATGGATTAAGTTTGTTAGAAGACATTTACATCAATTTCAGGAAAATGGAGCTGGTAGAAATTTCATAACTGCCTCGCGTGTGAATGCACGGCTTATTACACATACAAGAATGCAGAGATCAATCTGAAATCTACAACTAGCAACGGATTCAACTTTTGAATAATAAATTCATTAATGGGTTCTTGGGGGGTACGCTTGACCTGGTTTGACTGTAATTTATATATATATTTTTGCCTATATTCATTTTTTTATTGATGAAAGTTTGTTTAATCTTCACTTGCTGCTGAGAAATTGAACGGCACGCATTGCGTTTTATAAAGCGACGAAACTCAACATGGTTGATAATGAAGACTTTCTAAAACTAAGGATAAGTTATCAAGTCCCTCGTTGAAGTTATTCTTTGAAATTCGTTCACTTAATTAGGGGGTTATTTTTCTTTCTTTCCCCAGTAATTTTTTTTTAAAACTAGTTTGCCTACTTTGAGTCTGTTTGGCCAAGATGCAACTTAACTGGTAAGGAAATCCTAAGATACCACACACTAAACGATGTGACTATCTCACTGCATTGCACTGCATACATAATTATTTGACCCGTGACGTACACTGATGCTGAAATTAAAAACTCCATTAAATTCCGTCGTGTTGAGCCCGCGCAACCCTCCTGTTGCTTTGCTTTTGCACGCCTCTTGGTCAGGTGTTAGCCAGTTTAACTGAGTTCAGTGGAAGTTTCTTAGAATTTTCGCCACTCGCACCTCCCAATTGTGATGGTTGACGTCGCTTACCTACGTTTTTCGGCATACCTACAGGGTGTTTCAAAAGTTCGTTCCGATTTTTTATTCGCTTAAAATTCTCTAATTATTGACAAAAAAAAAACTGCCAAACTTAGTATGTTATTCATTATTCATTTAACATTGAATAACTAAAATATTAGTAACCAGAATGTCTTCCTGTATGTTTTCTGACATTTTCTACGCGGTGAGGTATAGAATGTACGAGCTCCCAAAGCATGCCCAAAGTCACATTCTTCCACGCGAAGCGTAGTCACTGTCTAAGCTCGTCCAGTGTTTTGGGGCTGGATCTTTGTATGTTGTTTCGTCTACGATAATGCAGATAATCTCTAGGCGGTTCACATCACGTGAGTTTGCCGGCGGTTCTCTTTCAGTATAAAGTTGGCAAATCCCTCTGACACCATGCTTGCATGAAGTGTGCCCTGCCTTTTTCTCTTCCAGGCTTTTCAACTGTTTTCGGTAACTTATCCCCAAACTGTTGTACTCGAAACTTTGATCGATAATGTGAAGTTGAAATTTTTTGACCTTTCTGTTTTGTGGAATTATTACGCATATACTTCCAGCTTTTTCGATAATATTTCTCACACAGTTTGTGAAAAAAACGGCCATCCACTCCTTGGTTTGTCTTCTAAGGTCTTTCCTTTTGATAACTTGTTGGGTCATCGTTCAGACTTCTTCAACAATTTGGCAAATTTTTTTGACTGAATGGCCAGACGACCATAAAAAATAGATGCCTGAACTCTAGCACAAAGAGTGTAGGCCTTCATTTTCATGAAGAAGTAGAGAAAATAAAAGAAGAAAACGATAAAAATACCAAAATAGAAAACCTACAAAATGGGCATGAAAAGTATGGCGGGAAAAACCTCGCGTACGTGTACAGTTGGGCAAAAATTAAAAAAAATTATAATTTCTTCAAATTTAGTTTGAAATTGCTTTGAACGGTTATTTAGATAAATTTCTTACCTGAATCAGTTTCCATTTGCTAAAAGAAGCATTAAATGCTTTGCGCAAAAGACAATTTACAATCGGAACGAACTTTTGAAACACCCTGTATTGTCATGGCCGTCGCGGTTTCCTTCCACAACTTAGATTCCCATGACGGGAAAATGGGTATGCAGTGCTAATATTTTCCAAGTTTACTTAGCAAGTTTTATCGTATTCTTCTCGATAGTTTTACGCGACTGTGGTGACCCAGGAGAACCAGACAATGCAATTGTTATCATGGGAAATCACTGGGCAGGGGAATATGTCAGATACCTCTGTAATCCGGGATATACTATGATTGGTCCCGCGGTCAGAAGATGTTTGCCCAGCGGTAAATGGAGTGGAAATACACCGACATGTAAGAATGTGAACTCACTGCAATCCACAAGCTCAAATGTTTGTTTTCTTTCGGAAAAAAAGAGCGGGATAACCGGCATAATTGTCCTTTTTTTTACCTGACATTATTTTTAATAATTTTTTTGTAAACGCTGGCAGTGCTAGCTGTCACCAACTCATGATTGAAAAAATAGACAAATTTATGTTTCAATATTGATATTTAACAATTATTCCTCGAGCCCGAATGGGCTCTGAGTCAAAAAATCCAACTAG